AGGCTAACGATTGCACCATAACACGTGACTCTCTGTCGCACAGTAGAGAAATTACCGTATAGACAGAAGGAGAAGCTTGCATTCAATCGGGGGGACGTGGAGGCATAAAGTCAAGGGAGAAGCCCATAGAGAGTCATAAAGTTGATCCTGCTGCTAGCTCATGGACAGCTCCTACTCACGCTCTCCATCTCTTAAAGATTCGGAAGGGAATGATTCAGATTCCTCTTGGCTATAGGGTTGGGTATCGGTTGGGTTTTACCCGATACCAGTACCTACTCGGTATTTTTTAAACAATATAAATAAAAGTAACATATGGTAATAAGAAATAAACCAATATAAAATAAAAATTCACATTACATAATATCAAATAAAACAATATTGTATCAAAAAATTTGATAATACAGGAGATTAACAGAGATTACTACCTGGGTAATCTAATATCGACATGGCTACAGGTTCCCATGTTTTGTCTGCTTGAACCAGTCATGCAAGTTATCTGATCATTGTACTAGTTACGCAGCGCTTAGCTTGGCAAGTTTGGTATTTCGTTCCCACTGCGTCTTAGCTACGCAGCTTTGAGTAAACTTATGAAAGAGAACGTCTCTGGTTACTGTAACCCATGCCATGTTCTCTGAATAGGGAACGAGACGTTGCGTTCACTGCCAAACTCCTCGCGCTGCCGACAAGCTTCCTTTTTCGGCAGAGAAATCTGAGGAGCAGATGATGCGCGCGCTAATTTAATACGATGACGTGAGCATCAAGGCGGTGGCGGCGCCATCAGCCAATGGATTGGAGTGAATCGTGATTCTATATGGGCTTCAGACAATCGTTCTGACGCGTAATTTTACACGTGAAATGCAGCCAAACCTTGGAGCGTTTTGTCTTCGGCATCTTCAATAATCCCCTCGCTATCAGCAGACGTTCCGGGAGTCTCCCGCATATTGATAACGGCTCCCTGATGCCCGCAAATCAGTTAAAATCTCCCGGAACGCTTGAGCGAGCGAGCGAGCAAAAGCGCGCATGTGAGACAGAACAGACAGTGCTCCAATAAACCGTATAGTGCGTGCACGGCGGAGAGAGAGAGAGAGGGAGAGAGCGAGAGACTTTGCGTGTGTGCGCCTTACGCCACAGAGACTCAGGCACCGAAATTTTCGTTCTTATTCGGTCTGGTTACTACCGTTTACGTCAGGAACCGGTTCCCTATTGGCACCGCGTTTCGGTACCCAACCCCAGGGCCGGCCCGTGGCATAGGCAGTATAGGCAAATGCTAAGGGCGCAAGCGCCTTAAACCTTAGGGGGGGGGGCGCCAGAGCCGCGTAAGGAACTTTCCGCTTTTATTGTACTTCATTAACACTGCAACGAGTGGAGCAATTACATAAGCCTGCCAGTGGCGCAAAAAGTGGGTATACCGGTATGTGTAGCGGAGTAGGCGCCCTCATAAGATTTCATCATAGAATTTTGAGGGGACCCCCCTCCAATAATATCGCGAGCGGGCGCAGGCGCCGTGAGCGCTGAGCGAACAGGCACGAGTAGTGAGCTGTCGTCGAAAAATATAAATAAAGCAAAAAAGCGGCCGGGGGCTAAAATAGAAATAGCCCATTCGTTTTGTTTTGCTTAATCGGTGGCGCTGGGTTAGTGCTGGTGTAATGCATTGGTAAAAAAAAGCTTTTTTTCTGACACCGCATGAAACGTGTAGATCAGCGGCCCATTGGTTGTTTTCTTGATTGACACTGGGCTGGCCCAATCACATCTTTAATGTGAAGTACAGAAAAATACTCTTTCTATTAGTATAGAAATTAGTACAAAACTTATGAAAGTTTCCTTTATTTTTCAGTGCATTGTTTTACAATGAGTATTATCATGGGATTAATATTATAACTATTATTATGTAATGTAGACAGACACTAACTAAAAGAGGTTTGAATTTTTCTTTGTTTAATTTGAACACTGAATATGGGTTGGAGCTTTTAATTTTGAACTCTCAAAGTGCACCAGATTGATGAATTTAACATTAAAATGCCCAAAATTTTCTCACGGGGGATCATGCCCCCGTACCCCCCTAGCCTTGTAGCAGCCTAATGGATTAGTAATAATAGTAGTGGTGGTAGTAATTGTAATTTATCTACTACAAGTTACATGGTCAGATAATATGCAGATAACAATGCAACTATGTAGGATGGTTGAAATATCCTTGAACGTTCTTTTTTAGCATTTGTATAAACAATTTATTACAGTTCAAGTCATAATTTGCTTGTTGAAGTTTTGGAGTGACTATAAGAGCATTTTTGTTTAGTTAAATAAATACTCATTATTTTTAAGGGGGGGGGGGGGGGGGGGGGGCTTCCAAAGTAATTGATGCTAGCCATTTCCTCACTGTCACACACCTATAGCAGTCACACATCTCATGTACAGTATACGTTGTGTTGTGACGTAGCCTTGTCGTAAACAGTTTGGATAGAAAGGCTCAACCAACAAAATCAGGAAGGTCATAAATTCATAGGGTATGTCAGGTTTTTAGGATTAGCAACTTAGTTGGACAATTTAATTCAGAGACCTGATGAATGTTGTAACTTATTATGTAAAATGTTAGCCAACAACAGTTGACTAGTAGGCTATGTAAACACAAACAGATCCAACTCTGAAATGGCAATTAAAAGATTACACATTGTTTGTGAATTCTTGTTGCCAAGTTCTGCATAACGTTACATGCCAAGACTTGCATGCACCAAGTATGGTTTAAAAACTATATAATATTCATTGTGGGGTTCATTAATGGTGAAAAATAATTCAGCAGAACAGATGTCGTAGGCTATCTGCAGATATTTGCATTCACCTCTTTTCTCAGCATAAATGACTATTACCTCCCGTGAGGTGCATGCAGAACTCAGCATAACACCTGTTAGCAGTTTTGCCCCCTGAATGCGCGCATTCAGTATTGTTTGTATACAAGAAACGAGTCTATTGATGCCCTTTAAGTTAACCTGGCATCTGCTTCTAGACACCTACAAATTTATACTCTACCAGATGTCTCTAAAGATCCACTTCAGCACTATCACATGGGAATGAAAATAAGATCTCTAGTGTCTAGCCTGAGACACAGCAGTGATCAGAAAGACTCCAAATTATGCCTTTGAATGTGTTTTATTCACGGCCGGGAGGACCTCAAATCAGAGAACTCCACAGGCAAAAAGAACAATTTATATAGGATAGGTACATGGCAAAGGTAACATGACTCATTACATAATTTCTCTAATATGATTAACACTGCATGCATGATCACAGGTGGTTGAGCAGCATTTGTCCGGCAGGGCACGGACCATCATGGGAACAATATTCGGCACACACTGGATTCCCCTTCAGTAGGGCACCAAGCCTGTATGGATAGAGATTCAGATTTAGTCTGGCCATTAAGTGACATTAAGCGTCACATGTACAGCACAAAACACTCAAGACAAGAATAGCTAGTAGCTTATAGAGTGAATTGCATTCTAAGTATTATTCTTCTTCATCTTTATTAATTTTGTAAAGCCACCCTGGGCGTGAAACCATGCTATAGGCCAAATTCAGGTATGTTGACAATAGGCTATAACACAAAATAATCTATTACTAGATTCATAAAATAAGATGCAATCTAAAAGGCAATGAGAAATTACCATCTCAATCTATTTGGAATAATGCAACAACCCTAACCCCATAAAAATGTGCACCTTCACATTCTCTTTTCAAAAACGTTATAATATCAAAGCAATTAGATGTAACTGAACACCTGCAAAAGTGATTGGTTACCATTTCAATTTCATTACCATACAAAAGGGGGAAACTTAGGAAAAATGTTGTACTGTAATGCAAACATTGACCATGTAACAATCATGCTTACTACAGAGTGTCATTCTTGTTTGTAAAGAAAAAGAACATTGTATAATGCTACCTGATGTTTTGGGTTTTAGGAGTGTGTTTGTGTGAAACCTCTGCTAGTGGTCAGGAAGAATGAGTTGATCTGATAAATGATTGAAATGTTTTGATAGTTTTAGTGTATTTTTGAATGTGAAATTAACTGCTAGAAGAACGTTGTGAAGAGTTTTGAATAAGTAAAATAAAACTGTAAAGCACAATATTTTATTTTTATTGTGAGTATTGCGAGTACTTTAGTTTTTCAATCTATTTTTAAAACTTTGCTACATGGTTAGTTTAAAATAAAACACACATTAGAGCCCGACCTATTTGCAATTTATAGATTTCACATCTGGAAGACAGGCATACACATGTTTTTGTGTGCGTACATTAGTTTTTTCTGGAATCACACTCAAACATCTGAGATGAACTTAGATCAAAAGTTGGACGGCAGATCTTAAAGTGACAGCAGCCTAATAAACCAGTTGCTGTGATGTCAATAATGTTAATCAAAGAACAAACGTAACAGAGTTGTAGCTTTAATAAGACTTAACTACATAAATTATAAATTAACTATAGATTAAGACTGTAAAGTGTTTGATAACTATTCAATTTCCGTATATTCCCTACCTGTTAGACATCAGGAGCAGTATTAGTTTCAGTGATCCTGGCCTTCATAAAAAAATTTAATTGATTTTTTTGTAATCGATTGACAGCCCGAATACATATTTAGCGATTTCTCTGGTAACCTCTGTACACAAAGCCGTTTATAAAAAGTGTACAAAAGCTCAAAAGTATTCTTTAACTTCACCATATTTTGCCAACATATAAGCTAGATAGTTGCAATGTTTAACTTCTCATTTTTAAACATGCAACTAAAACTAGCGAACAAAACAAATTGACAAAATCTCAGTGGGACATGTTTTATACAATAACCTTTTATCATATAATAACCTGACTTTTTCCTGTGACCTGAAGCGAGATGTAGTTTTGGTCAATAGCTGAAGCCTTTTAGTCTGACGACCGAGGATGTCCTATAAATGTACACCGTACATGGCCTCGAGCCCATGGCCGAATCACAGCCGTGCTAATATAATATAAAATATAACCTGTAACTGGAGCCATACAGTCAAGTCCACATCCATTGCTGCAGCATTTCTCATTGTTGGCACAGTCACTGTCATCGACACACGACATGAAATGCATCAGGGGACACATTCCTGGTTTAGATGTTCTGCTTGGACACACTCCTGGCTTTACTGTTATACAGACACATGACAGAGAAGCAAAAAAAAAAAAAAAAAAAAAAAAAAAAAACTGAATGCTGATTGTCTCTAACAATTTTGCTGTTGTTGCTGTACAGACCTTTGAAATAACTGAAATCTTTTGGCGAAGTGATATAAACATGTACGCAATACGGTCAAGAACTGCCTGGAACTACTTTAGCCGTGCGTTTCCCTGAATATAATTGCACACCTTAGAATCTTCGTCAACCAATCAGATTTAAGCATTTAACAGTGAACTTAAAAACAAAACACACTAAAATTCCCAAAATTCTCTTGCATAACCCCCTTAAAACTCTAGCACCCCTGCCCGTAATATAATATAATACCTGTAACTGGAGCCATACACTGAAGTCCACATCCATTGCTGCAGCATTTCTCATTGCTGGCACAGTCACTGTCATCGGCACACGGCAAGAAATGCTTCAGGGGACACATTACTGGTTTATATTTTCTGATTGGACACACTCCTGGCTTTGCTGTTAAACAGACATGGACAAAAGATATATTAGCCCTGATATATTGAAGGGCAGGTAAATATGACTTAGGGAATCACCGATACCACTTTTTTCAGAACGAGTCCGATACCTGTATTTTCACTGGATTTGTAATTTTTAAATGTAATGGGTAGAGAAACCAAAAGAATATAAATCATACGAGTTGGCTTAAATTGCTGATCAAATATATATTTCCTTCAGTTATTTTCATGCTTAAAGGGATAGGCCTTTATTAATCCCCCGGGGCCATGTGGATTACTTTTATGATGGATAGATAAACTTTGATGGACTTCAAAACAGAAACAGCCATTCACTGCCATTATTAAGCTTGAAGAGCCAGGCCATTTTTTAATATAACTCCGATTCTATTCGTATGAAAGAAGAGACACCAAGGATGTCTTCAGGGTGAGTAAAATGGGCTAATTTTAATTTTTGGGTGAACTATCCTTTTAATTAAAAGCCTGTTAAAATGCGTTTTTGTGAAGATTGTTTTAAGTTAACTTAGATAAGATTTAAAGCCTAATAAACCTAATATAACATAACTAAAAACATAAAAATACCTGTAACTGGAGCCATACACTGAAGTCCACATCCATTGCTGCAGCATTTCTCATTGTTGGCACAGTCACTGTCATTGACACACGACACGAAACGTATCCGGGCACACATTGCGGATTCATATTTTCTTCTTGGACACACTCCTGGCTTTACTGTTAAACAGACACATGACAGAGAGGAAAAATAGCTCTGATATACTGAAGGGCAGGTAAATGTGAAAAACTTTAAAGCCTAATAAAACAATTTATTGATAGAAAAATGTATTGCTTTTAATTATACTGTAATGATGAATGCCTATAAATAATGGCTAAAATTAAGCAAAAAAAAAAATGTCAAAGAGACATCAGGTGCAGTATTGGTATCAGTGATGCCTGCCTTCATAAAAAAAATTCCATTAAACAAATATTTGACATATCAGCCACTGTATATGTTGTTTCTAAATTAATTTGGAGATTAAATGTGAAATTACTACAATAAAAATATATAAAAGAACTTTAATGTAAGGTGTGATTCATTGCGCTTACAGAAAATGTGCAATTAGTAAACATTTTTATTGACCGCATATATTATAATACCTGTAACTGGAGTCATACAGTCACGTCCGCCACATGTAGTGCTGCAGCATTTCTGATTGTCGGCACAGTCACTGTCATTGGCACATCTCATCGGACGCATCATGTTACACACTAATCCTTCATTATTTTGGATTGGACACACTCCTGGCTTTACTGTTATACAGACACAAGACAGAAACCAAATCACTGAATGCTAAATGTCTTTTTCACTGGTTTAACTTTTTTTGGTTCTTTTGTTGTTTGAAAAAGTGCCTTTGAAAGAACTGAAATCATTTGGCGAAGGACATGTAATGCGGTCAACACTTGCCTGGAACTGCTTTAGCCGTGCGGTTCCCCTAAGAATAACTGCATACCTTAGAATCTTCATCAACCAATCAGATTCAAGCATTTAACAGCCCCCTAGTCAGGGGTGTGGTTATAGTGTGTGTGTGTGTGTGTGTGTGTGTGGGGGAGGGGGGTGGGTGGCTTCTGGTCTACGGGTGCAGAGTATGTGTCAGGCATATGGTCCTAGGACACTACGGGGCCCCAAATCATGACTTTTGTTTATTTTATTCCTTTGTAAATTTTGTTTTCTTACATACACAAACATGTTAAATCATAATATTGGGGTAAAATAAATATATGAATTATAGAAAGTAAGTAGTGAATGAGAGAAATACATTTAATTTATAATGTATGCAGTAAAGACTATAAAGTGTTTGATAACTTTATTCAATTTCTGTATATTTTTCGACCTGTTAGGACAGGTAGGAATGCCACAGGTGAACGTTATTTATTATAATGGGTTTGTGAAGATTTGTTCACTTAAGGGCCCAAAATTGTCTTGCATACCCCCCCTTAACTCGTAAGTGGGGCCCCTGCCCGTAATATAATATAAGAATACCTGAAACTGGGGCAATGCAATCAAGTCCTCCACAGTTATTTCTGCAGCATTTCTGATTGTCAGCACAGTCACTGTCATACCCATGTATTGCTTGAACACCGGGACAAAATGGATGGTCTGGGAGTGGACACACTCCTGGCGTCGCCATTATACAGACACAAGACCAAGAAGAAAAAGTTCGCTCTGATATATTGAAGGGGAGGTAAATGTGACATTACAAAGAGTTTGTGAAGATATAATTTAAGTGAAATTTAAGTGAATTTAAAACAAAGTTATATTTTAAAGCCTAATAAAACAGAATATAAAAATGTATTGCTTTTAATTATACTGTAATGATGAATGCCTAGAAATAATGGCTAAAATTAAGAGGAAAAAAATAAATGTCAGAGACATCAGGAGCAGTATTGGTATCAGTGATGCCTGCCTTTCATAAAAAAATAAAATAAAAAAAAATCCATTAAACAAATATTTGACTCCTGGCGTCGCTGTTATACAGACACAAGACATGGTAATGCGGTCACTGCACGAATACCTTGGGTGTGCATTACAGGTGAAACTCAAAAAATTAGAATATCATGCAAAAGTTAATTTCAGTAATTCAACTTAAAAGGTGACACTAATATAATATATAGACTCATTACATGCAAAGTGAAATATTTCAATCCTTTATTTGTTATAATTTTGATGATCATGGCTTCATGAACGAAGTCTTACGGGGTTGGAACAAGAGAGCGAGTATTTACTGACAGAATTTAAATTTTTGGGTGAACTAACCCTTTAAAAGGTTAAAATTAACAACTCAAATAGAATGCAGTTTTATTATAATAATTAATGTGTGTGTCCTACCGTTTCTCACTCCGCATGACTCCTCACACTCTTTCTGGCTGTTGAACCTGTTGCCATTTCCCTTGCAGCCTCCATATATGAAGGACACACACTTTCCCGCAGCAGAATCGAAGGCCCACCTGGGCATGTATGCTTCACAAGGACCAGCGTCTATAGGCAGTCTGCAGGCAGCTAGATGGAGAAAATACACTGTATATATTACGAGTCACGACTACACCAAGATGAATTGTGTGCTGGTCACTATGGGCCTCTCAGCTGGGCCGTAATCCATCTTTGGATCACACACACAAAAACACCGGTCTCATAAACACACACACGTTGGTGCAGTTGTTTGAGTAATGGTTAATGCCCGACGAGGTGTCCATTGTCAAGTATTAATGGACGACGGCGAGGTGTGAACCGTCTGACGCGCATCGGTATTAATGGACGACGGTTGCCTCCGCCCAAGTCCATTAATACCTAGACAATGGACACCTCGAAGGGCATTAACCCGCTTATACCATGTTCACTTGCCAAATAACACATTAGTTTATATTTTAATAAGTTTTACAATCGAAATCAAGTTATTGTTTGTAAAAACTTTAGGTTTCCCTGGTTACGCCTGACGGTTTATTTAGCAACCGGAGATATTATAGTCCGCTCAGCTCGTAGAACCCTTCAGTTTAGCTAACTTACGAGCCAGAAAGTTAACTTTTTTTTTTAATGTAAGTTAGGCTTGTCTAGCCATGGGCGTTACACTTTCGTTTTTTTTAACCTATAATTAAAACACACAGGTAGGCATAGTATAACAGCTTTTTTTTGATAAAACAAATTGTAAATGGATACTTTGACTGCCTGTTGCTATGGTTACTCACAGCTGATGTAGCCAGCGCATTTATTTATTAATTTCGAACGGTAAACAGTCAGTTTCACCAGAACCCCTTTACTAGGCTTCCTCGATCACTTTTTAAATGGACACCCTGCAGCCAATCAGAATCGAGTATTCACCCAGACCATGGTATAAACGACTGTAAAAGATGCAATAGGTTGGTTTCACGTGACGTCACGCTGCTGCATCGCGAGAGCGCGGAAATTCAGATGGAGGGCAGGAAGTGAAATAGCTGAGGATCTGCCATCAATGTTTTGTGTAGTTTACGGTAGATCTAATCGTTCTAATCGAGAAAAGGGAAAGGGTTTTTATAGAGTACCAAATATTGTCATTAATAAAGGTGAGAAATGTAAAAAGCTCACAGAACAACGCCGTAAAAAGTGGATTTTTAACGTAACGTCTGCGATTTGGGAGGAGCAAGTCTGTTAATGCCGGGTCTCAGCAGCGACGGTATGTTAGCTAGCCAACATGTTTTTTTTGTGTCTGTGTTTATATAGCATTAGGTTGTCGTTCAGGGGATCAGTGGGAATGGGACGTTAAATGATCATGGTAAATTAGACTCAATACAGACTCTCCGCAACGGTTTCCTCCATAGACGTATTCTCCATGTTTACTTCCTGCCCTCCATTTGAAATCGCCTCGCCTTCCCGCGTCATCAAAATCGTTATCATAATCACGTGACTGAAACCCAGCTATTAAGCAGTGTTAGATTGTAATTCAGATTGTAATACGGATTACCACTAGACTAGCGAGTTTAGTTTGACAGATACTTTGCCAAAGCAATGGCGTAAAACACAACGTTAAAGACCTCTTATGTTATGAAGTTTAAAAATAGTTTGATCATTATGAATATGGTGAGAATTGAGGCCTTAGTGAGAACAGTTCGAATTATTCATGATCATCATAACTTCTAGAAAAAAAAATCTATTTCATTGAGACAGTATTGGTATCATCAGTGATGCCCTCTTTCATAAAAAAAGCCATTAAACAAATATTCGAAATATTAGCTACTGTCCTTGTTTTGACATTAATTTGGAGATTAAATAATTAAATGTGCAATTACAGTATAAAAAAATATATATAAAAGAACTTGAATGTTAGGTGCGATTAATTGCGCTTAATTACAGAAAACGTGCGATCAATGTTTCGATTGACCGCATATAATATACACTCACCTAAAGGATTATTAGGAACACCTGTTCAATTTCTCATTAATGCAATTATCTAATCAACCAATCACATGGCAGTTGCTTCAATGCATTTAGGGGTGTGGTCCTGGTCAAGACAATCTCCTGAACTCCAAACTGAATGTCAGAATAGGAAAGAAAGGTGATTTAAGCAATTTTGAGCGTGGCATGGTTGTTGGTGCCAGACGGGCCGGTCTGAGTATTTAACAATCTGTTCAGTTACTGGGATTTTCACGCACAACCATTTCTAGGGTTTACAAAGAATGGTGTGAAAAGGGAAAAACCATCCAGTATGCGGCAGTCCTGTGGGCGAAAATGCCTTGTTGGTGCTAGAGGTCAGAGGAGAATGGCCAGACTGGTTCGAGCTGATAGAAGAGCAACTTTGACTGAAATAACCACTCGTTACAACCGAGGTATGCAGCAAAGCATTTGTGAAGCCACAACACGCACAACCTTGAGGCGGATGGGCTACAACAGCAGAAGACTCCACCGGGTACCACTCATCTCCACTACAAATAGGAGAAAGAGGCTACAATTTGCAAGAGCTCACCAAAATTGGACAGTTGAAGACTGGAAAAATGTTGCCTGGTCTGATGAGTCTCGATTTCTGTTGAGACGTTCAGATGGTAGAGTCAGAATTTGGCGTAAACAGAATGAGAACATGGATCCATCATGCCTTGTTAACACTGTGCAGGCTGGTGGTGGTGTAATGGTGTGGGGATGTTTTCTTGGCACACTTTAGGCCCCTTAGTGCCAATTGGGCATCGTTTAAATGCCACGGCCTACCTGAGCCTTGTTTCTGACCATTTCCATCCCTTTATGGCCACCATGTACCCATCCTCTGATGGCTAGTTCCAGCAGGATAATGCACCATGTCACAAAGCTCGAATCATTTCAAATTGGTTTCTTGAACATGACAATGAGTTCACTGTACTAAAATGGCCCCCACAGTCACCAGATCTCAACCCAATTGAGCATCTTTGGGATGTGGTGGAACGGGAGCTTTGTGCCCTGGATGTACATCCCACAAATCTCCATCAACTGCAAGATGCTATCCTATCAATATGGGCCAAGATTTCTAAAGAATGCTTTCAGCACCTCGTTGAATCAATGCCACGTAGAATTAAGGCAGTTCTGAAGGCGAAAGGGGGTCAAACACAGTATTAGTATGGTGTTCCTAATAATCCTTTAGGTGAGTGTATATCATTATAGAACATAACATAATTAATATAATGTATATAATATAATAAAAATACCTGTAACTGGAGCCATACACTGAAGTCCACATCCATTGCTGCAGCATTTCTCATTGTTGGCACAGTCACTGTCATCGGCACACGGCACAAAACGTATCAAGGTACACTTTCCTCGTTCATATTTTCTGCTTGGACACACTCCTGGGTTTACTGTTATACAGACACATGACAGAGAAGCCAGATCACTGAATGCTGAATGTCTTTTTACTGGGGCTTTTGGTTCTTTTGCTGTTGTAGGCTGTAAGGACCTTTAAAATAGGAAATTAAAGTAACAGATGTTTTGGCCTTACAGCAGCTCTAGAATAAAGTTATTGTCCAGCTAAAGTTAGTTTTGATCGATTCACTTCCGTAGCAAAGATCATTAGTTATTAACTTAGGGGCCGCTTACATAAAACCGTTCTAACAGAAAACCCTTAACGTGCTCCGGCCCGCTCATTCTCAAAATTATTTATCGCTTTCGAGTAGCCATGTGAACCGGAACTATTTCGACAACGTTTTCTCTGTACAGAGGTAGAGGGAGGGTGGCCTTCACAGGGGAGAGAGTAGTTGACACTTCAGGACTGCGTTGTTGTCGTGTCCAGGCGCAGGTCCTTCATTAGATCTGGATACGGCCTGTATCCGGCGGACTGCGGTAAACCTCGTGATAGACTAATATTAGCGTAGACACCATTCTGCTTATGATGTAACGAGTACATCAGGATTTACGGGGAGTGTTCCCGGCTGACCTAATCTATGCAGCCTAACATTGAATTATAGAATTGTATAATGTGTTGTGTATGCTAGGTCAAAGAGATGTGTTTTTAGTCTAGATTTGAACTGACAATGCGTGTCTGCTTCGCGGACAATGTTAGAAAGACTATTCCAGAGTTTTGGTGCTAAATAGGAAAAGGATCAGTCGATTTTGATATTATAGGTATTATCAACTGGCCGGAACTTTAAATCATTTGGCGAAGTGATATGGACATGTATAATGTGGTCAAGACCTGCCTGGAACTACTTTAGCAGTGTGTTTCCCTGAAAACGCATTCAACTGGAAGGGGCCCACAATTATTTCTTGCATACCCCCTTTAAAACTCTTAATGGCGCCCCTGCCCGTAGTATATATTTTAATACAATACAATATAATACCTGTAACTGGAGCCGTACACCGAGTTCCACCGCATGCAGTTCTGCAGCATTTCTGATTTTTCGGACACTCACTGTCATCGGCACACAACTCTTCATCCTTCATGATACACCTTATTTCCTTATCGTTTGTTTTTGGACACACTCCTGGCTTCACTGTTATACAGACACATGACAGAGAAAAAAAAAAAAAAAAAAAAAAAGGTACCCTGATATATTGAAGAGAACAGGTAAATGTGACATTTATTATAATGCGTTTTTGTGAAGATTGTTTAAGTTCACTTACATTATAAGTTGTTATATTTTTTTTTTAAACCTAATAAAATGTTAAAATTGATAGCTTTCAATTATACTGTAATGCTGAATGCCTACAATTAATGACTAAAATTAGGAAAAAAATCAATTTCACAGAGACAGAGCAATACTGGTATCAGTGATGGCATCTTTTTATGAAAGGCATCAAACAAACATTTGCCGTGATATTTCACGTAGTGATATTGCGCATAGCTTCTAGGTTGCACGTCACACGTAGGCTCACTATTGGCGACGCTGGTCATGTGTGTGATGCGTGACGTACAACCTAGAAGTTTTGCGTAGTTTCACTACGTGAAATCTCACGGCCGTACAGAGATGGAAATGAATAGTTGAATGAAGTCGTTATTTGTTTGTTTTTTGCGCACAAAAAGTATTCTCGTTGCTTGATAAACTTAAGATCGAGCCACTGTAGTCACTCGGACTATTTTAACGATGTCTTTCATAACTTTTGGGCCGGTCAGTTTCGATCCCTTAAGAAGCCTATGCAGGAGTGAGCCAGCTCTCAGATTTAATCAAATATCTTAATTTGTGTTCCGAAGATGAACGAAAGTCTTACGGGGTTGGAACAACAAGAGAGTGAGTATTTACTGACAGAATTTTAATTTTTGGGTGAACTAACCCTTTAAAAGGTTCAAATTAACAACTCAAATAGAATGCAATTTTATTATAATAGTTAATGTGTGTGTCCTACCGTTTCTCACTCCGCATGACTCCTCACACTCTTTCTGGCTGTTGAACCTGTTGCCATTTCCCTTGCAGCCTCCATATATGAAGGACACACACTTTCCCGCAGCAGAATCGAAGGCCCACCTGGGCATGTATGCTTCACAAGGACCAGCGTCTATAGGCAGTCTGCAGGCAGCTAGATGGAGAAAATACACTGTATATATTACGAGTCACGACTACACCAAGATGAATTGTGTGCTGGTCACTATGGGCCTCTCAGCTGGGCCGTAATCCATCTTTCGATCACACACACAAAAACACCGGTCTCATAAACACACACATTGGTGCAGTTGTTTGAGTAAGGGTTAATGCCCGACGAGGTGTCCATTGTCAAGTATTAATGCACGACGGCGAGGTGTGGACCGTCTGACGCGCATCGGTATTAATGGACGACGGTCGCCTCCGCCGAAGTCCATTAATACCTAGACAATGGACACCTCGAAGGGCATTAACCCGCTTATACCATGTTCACTTGCCAAATAACACATTAGTTTATATTTTAATTAGTTTTACAATCGAAATCTAAAGTTTTTACAAACAATAACTTGGCTTCCCTGGTTACGCCTGACGGTTTATTTAGCAACCGGAGATATTATAGTCCGCTCAGCTCGTAGAACCCTTCAGTTTAGCTAACTTACGAGCCAGAAAGTTAACATTTTTTTTAATGTAAGTTAGGCTTGTCTAGCCATGGGCGTTACACTTTCGGGTTTTTTAACCTATAATTAAAACACACAGGTAGGCATAGTATAACAGCAAACTAGATGTTTGTTTGATAAAATAAATTGTAAATGGATACTTTGACTGCCTGTTGCTATGGTTACTCACAGCTGATGTAGCCAGCGCATTTATTTATTTCGAACGGTAAACAGTCAGTTTCACCAGAACCCCTTTACTAGGCTTCCTTGATCACTTTTTAAATGGACACCCTGCAGCCAATCAGAATCGAGTATTCACCCAGACCATGGTATAAACGACTGTAAAAGATGCAATAGGTTGGTTTGACGTGACGTCACGCTGCTGCATCGCGGAAATTCAGATGGAGGGCAGGAAGTGAAATAGCTGAGGATCTGCCATCAATGTTTTGTGTAATACAGATTACCACTAGACTAACGAGTTTAGTTTGACAGATAATTTGCCAAAGCAATGGCGTAAAACACAACGTTAAAGACCTCTTCTGTTATGACGTTTAAAAATAGTTTGATCATTATGAATATGGTGAGATTTGAGGCCTTAGTGAGAACAGTTCGAATTATTCATGATCATCATAACTTCTAGAAAAAAAAATCTATTTCATTGAGACATTATTGGTATCAGTGATGCCCCCTTTCATAAAAACAGCCATTTAACAAATATTTGAAATATTAGCTACTGTCCTTGTTGTTTTGACATTAATTTGGAGATTAAATAATTAAATGTGCAATTACAGTATAAAAAATATATATAAAAGAACTTGAATGTTAGGTGCGATTAATTGCGCGATCAATTTTTCGATTGACCGCATATAATATATATCATTATAGAACATAACATAATTAATATAATGTATATAATATAATAAAAATACCTGTAACTGGAGCCATACACTGAAGTCCACATCCATTGCTGCAGCATTTCTCATTGTTGGCACAGTCACTGTCATCGGCACACGACACGAAACGTATCAGGGCACACATTCCTGGTTCATATGTTCTGCTTGGACACACTCCTGGGTTTGCTGTTATACAGGCACATGACAGAGAAGCCAGATCACTGAATGCTGAATGTCTTTTTACTGGGGCTTTTGGTTCTTTTGCTGTTGTAGGCTGTAAGGACCTTTAAAATAACTGAAATCATTTGGCGAAGTGATATGGACATGTACGTAATGCAGTCAAGACCTGCCTAGCAATTTCTGATCTAAAACCAGTGTTCGAATTGAGGGGGGCTGGGGGGGTCCCAGACCTCCCATAAGCGTCAAGGGACCCCCCCCCCCCCAAAAAAATACCTTGGCGTCCCCCAGTTTTTCATTAAAACTAAAAAAACATGACATATCTTTTTTTTTTTATCAAAGTATTGCGCTGCCGCTCCCATAAGAAGCTACTCCACACGCTGTTTTCTGAAGGAATTTACAGACAGCAACGTCACGGTCAAGTCACCTTCATTTATATAGCGCTTTTCAAAGCAGCTTTACAGCGATAATAAGAAATTAAAGTAACAGGTGTTTTGGCTTTACAGCAGCTCTAGAATAAAGTTATTGTCCAGCTAAAGTTAGTTTTGATCGATTCACTTCCATAGCAAAGATCATTAGTTATTAACTTAGGGGCCGCTAACACGACACCGTTCTAACAGAAAACCCTTAATCCGGCCCGCTCATTCTCAGAATTATTTATCGCTTTCGAGTAGCCATGTGAACTGGAACTATTTTGACAACGTTTTCTCTGTACGGAGGTAGAGGGAGGGTGGCTTTCACAGGGAAGAGAGTAGTTGACACTTTAGGACTGCGTTGTCGTGTCCAGGCGCAGGTCCTTCATCAGATCTGGATACGGCCTGTATCCGGCGGACTGCGGTAAACCTCGTGATAAACAGACTAATATTAGCGTAGACACCATTCTGCTTATGATGCAACGACTACATCAGGATTTACGGGGAGTGTTCCCGGCTGACCTAATCTATGCAGCCTAACATTGAATAATAGAATTGTATAATGTGTTGTGTATGCTAGGTCAAAGAGATGTGTTTTTAGTCTAGATTTGAACCGACAATGTGTGTCTGCTTCGCGGACAATGTTAGAAAGACTATTCCAGAGTTTTGGTGCTAAATAGGAAAAGGATCTACCGCCAGCAGTCGATTTTGATATTATAGGTATTATCAACTGGCCGGAATTTTAAGATCTCAATAGACGTGAAGATGCGTTAAGACCTCGCTCAAGTACTGCGGAGCTAGACCATTTAGTGCTTTGTAAGTAATCAGCGATATTTTTAAATGTGTATACGATGTTTAATAGGGAGTCAATGCAGTGTTAATAGAACCAGGCTAATATGGCCATGGCTCTGGTAAGAACTCAGCGTTTTGGACCAGCTGTAGTTTATTTATTAAGGGTGCAGGGCAACCACCCATAAGAGTATTACAATAAGTCTTGATGTCATGAACGCATTACTAATTGTTCCGCATTTGTCATTGAGAGCATATGACGTAATTTAGATATATTTTTAAGATGGAAGAATGCTGTTTTACAGATACTATAAACGTGACTTTCAAATGAAAGATTGGTATCAAAGAGCACACCCAGGTTCCTAACCGACGACGAAGACTTGACAGAGCAGCCATCAATTGATACGCCCGTTTCACACATACTTCGTTTGCCCAGATACCGGGCACAGTCACAACAAAGATGGCTACCTACGACGAAGTTGTCAGTGAGCTGAGGCGCCATTTAGCAACTGTTCAATGTTCAAAGGACCACAGAAAAACATTTCAGATCTCAAACTTACAGCGTTCTAATTCTTCCAGTCTATTAGCAGCTTCCCTTAAGAGGTCGGACACTGAACGTCTGCCAGCTGAGTTTGACATTACTAAACAATGCTTCTTTGGATTTTTACGGCAGCTGGCATCCAATGAGTTGCATTACTGCCACTAAACAATGCTTTATGGCGGGGGAAAGCCATGTAGATTCGACCGATGCAGTAAAATGCTAACCAACCAATGGGCAGAAGTTGACCCCCTTAAGACACAGCCCCTCCTCATTTGCATAATGAGGCAGAAATGCATACAGAAATGTAAAAACGACAGGCAGAAATAAATAGCATTGAAGAAATAAATAGGGTAAAAAAATACAAAGGAGACAAAAATATTATAACATGCACAAAAATAAATACTTAAAAAAAAAGTTAATAAATAAAGTTGAAGATTATAATGGACAATAAATAAGGTGATTACAAAGATGAATAAATAAAGAAGCTAATTAAAAGAGATATACATTTATGTCTCACTGTATAATTTAATTTCTACCTACATTTCTTTGTTTATTGTATTTTTTTGGGGCAATTAATTGTATGCTTATTTATTTATTGAGCATTTATTTATTTCTGTTTTTATTTTTAAATATGGTGAGGCGGCTAACTTGTTAGTTCGAGTCCTTGATTTACTGATCGCTTCAACCAAAGGCATGGTAACGTTAAGCGTTTTGCTTTTCTTTGCTTTACCCCGGGCTTAAAATAAAAAGATGACTGTGAAAAATAGCAGTATTGGTGAGTAACGTTAGCCTATAGTGAGTTGGTGAGATACATTTTCATGTCGTGTTACTTTAATTCAGCGCGTGCAGCACAGCAAACAGACTCGGTGCGGAAACGATCGCAGCTCTGTTGTACAGGCCTAGTTACGCACCGCTGCTGGAAAACATCGCCGGACCACATACGCGGGCAGTGTAGTTCTAACCAACATGGGTACGAAAAAAGGCCACGATACGCACTGCAAACGGATTATATGTGAAACAAGCGTCAGTTCTTTCAATATAAAAGTCTTCTACTGACTGACTCAGATATGTCAATTTATATATAAGTTCATCTATCACTGGACACCTGTACTGTTACACTGGTTTATGGATTTCTTCAGGCTGCGTAATGAAGTTAAAGAACATGGATCTCACCTGTGAAGTTTCGTCCTAGAGCAGCTTCCGTTGAGCTCCAGCATCCAGCCAGACACAATAACACAGTGCAGTACACTCGAGCAGTCATCCTCTCCACCTGCGATCATACAATGAACTGCTGGAAAATCATACTTGTCTCAGGACGAGAGAGTATTTAAGCTAGCGCTCAACCAATAGCGTGAGTTTGGGGCGGGATGATCTGGTTTGGGAACAATAGAGCACGTCCACACGTTTTAAAAAGTTCCGATGAGGTCAGACAGCTCCAGGCTATATAAATAATTATGAAGCCAAACGAGTTTTTTTATTTTATTTCAGAATACACTTTTGAATTACCTCAAAGGAGTATAATACTTTTCATCTACACAATAGTTTGATTTAGATTATATCCAATACAATCCCACAGGACAGTCTTGACAATGTGCGGGTTGACCAGTTTGGGCACTACATTCAATCCCAAATCTGAAACTAATCTCTTGTGCAATGATAATTTTCCCCAAAGTAAACTAAATGGAAACCCCTCATTTGTGCTTTTTTAAAAATGATTATTATTATTATTACATAGGCTACATATTTAGAAGACGCATTTGTCCAAAACGTACAAAAAAGTAATTCGTCAAATATCAGTCATAATACAGGTTAGACAATAATAATAAAGTGCTGAGATCATCACAAATAAACATAACATTTTGATGCACGTCATTCATATTAAATTGTAGTGTCTGACGCTATGTTTATTGTAAACTCGTTTCCATGACTACACCGGAAGTTGTTCATGCGCAACCTTTACAACGATAAAGTCGTTTTGTAATGCAATTATAATGTGTCTTGTTTACTGTCATTCTGAGTAATAGTGTGACTTAAAGCTGTTGTTACGTTGCTCTTGTTTAAATTTATGAAGCAGAGAAAAGTTGTTTATTGCTGGTCACATGTTTAACCCCGGAAGTATTTAGAGTAGCGCCAGATGAGAAGATGAGGGAGTGGGAGGCTCTCTTTCGTTTTCTAAGAAATACAGGATTAGTTAACATTATATAGGTTAGATATAGGTGAGTTAGCTTCTTTTGCATATTTGTGTGAGTATGTATATATGTATGTATACATGTATGTATATGGGTGTATATGTGTAAGTGTGTGTGTGTTTAATAATTATTATTATTAGTAGTATTAATATTATGTGTATATATATATATATATATATATATATATATATATATATATATATATATATATATATATATATATATTTTTTTTTTTAAGACCTGAAGATGTAAAGCCCTGATATTACACACTCCTGTACAGTAGGTGGCGGTATGCACATATAAATGCTGGTTTGCGATCCGCCATTAAACTGAAAGAAGAAGAAGAAGAAGAAGAGTAGCGACAGAGAAGAGAGAACGGCGGGTGAGAACAGCGAACTTTTAAGATCCCGTCTATTATTCTACAGCTGGTCTACCAGGCGAACCCTTTTTTACGGTGTTCGTGTTCCATGATACTTCAGATAAGAATAAATATGAATGTGAACATCAGTAAGAATCGTGGACTCTTTTATGACCAGACAAATAAAATAAAACAATCAGTCGCGCTCTTTTATGGTCTCCCTGAACTGGATCGCGTCTCAAAAATAAACAAGCCCATAGGCTAAAGCTTGAAATGTCCACTTTTAAACGAACAAATTCGAATCGAAAGAAAATACAGTCTGATTATGTAATCCATATGAATTTCTTATCTAAAGGTGCATCCGCTTTACAGCGGAGATGGAGATATGTTGCAGCCGAATTAGAAAATACCCTAGGCCTACTAGTTTATTAATAAACATTTAAAATGCCTCGTTACTTTTTCAGAAACATTTATAATAGCCTATAAATCATCTATAGCCTTAGAAATATAGTGTTTGGCCTTAAACCATTTTGTCCATATAATTTGTGAATATTTTAAATGTTTAATAAAGGGGCAAAAAGTCATGAATCGATATGTCCCGGTTTTTTATCAGACATAGGTGGCAACCCTAGTAGTTACATGTAAGTTAGGCCTATATTCCACCCCATACCCGCTACAATTGAATCCGCAGACAATTTGATGTACAGTATTCCACTTAA